TATGCACCAAAATGTAGGTCTGGGTCTTGTGATTCTCACAATATAAAGCTCTTTGGTGTAGGATTTATAATTTTTAAACTACAACCATTTGAATATGGCAACCGCTAGTGAAATGAGCAAGTTGGAGCAGTTTGTTTTTAACCGCTCTTCTCTGCCCTTGCTGTAGAGTGAGTTGCCATAGGAACCCACTACTGGTGGAGGCAAGAACACTTCACACAATTTCCCCAGAAATTGTAGCTTTTCTAAGTTAGTGATTGAAATCATGATTTAACCACTTCCCGACCGCCCTATAGCAGAAATACTGCCACAGGGTGGCACGGGTGCGCAAAATCACACACATATATAGTGATTTTGCATTTACGGGTAGGGGATGCATGGGAGCTCTACCAGTGCCGCCATTTGTGGCTGCGGCAGTCAATCACTGGGTCCCAGCTGGTGATTACTTGCCGGCGCCTGGCGATTACCGAGGATCTCCAAAGGGGAAGAGAACTGTTTTGTTTACTAAACAGTTCTCCTCCCTGTCAGCTTGGGCACACTGCTCTGGATGGCTCTACACAGCACAGCCATCCAAAGCAGTGTGCTTACAGTGAAGCACACAGACACTGCCCCATAGTAAAACATACCCAGTATACAGTTAACCCTTTGATCGCCCTTCATGTTAACCCCTTCCTCAGTGCCATTAGTACAGTGTAAGTGCTTTTTTGCCATTTGTAAACGCTATAACTTTCACGTAAACCAATTAATGTACACGTATTTGGATTTTTTTTTTAGCAAAGACATGTAGCAGAATACATTTTGACCTAAATTTATGATGAAATTTAATTTGTTAAATTTTTTTTACTGGACAAAAAGTCAAAATTATTGCTTTTTTCTCAAAATTGTTTGTCTTTTTTTTTTATAGAGCTAAAAATACAAAACGCACAGGCAATCAAATACCACCAAGAAAAAGCTAAATATGTAGGGAAAAAGGACATAAATTTAATTTGGGTGCAGTGCTGCATGACTGCGCAATTGTCAGTTAAAATAACTCAGTGCCGTAACGCAAAAAATGGCCTGGTCAGGAAGGGGGGTAAATCCCCAGGAGGGCAAGTGGTGTGATTTAAATCCACCCTGCTTAGAAAGTTTACATAGAAGCAGACACTTCTTCCTACACTGTAGGATTCCACTCCTTAGCTATTGACAATAATCAGAGAAGACGATTCACTTAACCAGCAGCTCTGCTTACTGAGCAAAGATGTGACAATTGAACGTCTTCTACATGGTTTCATACACTATGTCATACACTATTTACAAGGCACTGCAACAAGGCTAGGCACATGGTGTTCCCCTTTTACATATGGCAGGGTCTTTAGGGTTATGCTGTGGTGACCATACCTTTAACGTGTAGCAATTCCCAATAAAGGCAACGTAGTTCCCTAACAGTCCCACTTGTGGGTCCACCAAGTGTAGCACTACATCTCTCTGTGTATGGTCTCATCATCAGTCTCCAGAAAGGAGAGCCCTAGAGACCCACCCCTTCACTTAAATATCCCACTACAGAAAACTTTACAGGCCAAATAGTAGACAGACCACAGGACGTTAACCCTACTAATACCAACAGCAACTTACAAGTACAGTGCAGCTTTAACGCAATTGGCACCTGCCTACCCATCGCTGTTTTCTGCCTTTGCAGCTTACAGCAGAACTACACTGTATCTGAACACCACAAAGCAAAAGTGATATTTAATTCATTTTTAATATTCCAAAAGCAACCCCCCCCCAATCCATTCATGTCTCCATGCTTTATTTTGCTGAAAAATCACTTTGACCATGGCCACCTTGAGCAAGGGCAGATGTTTCATGTAGCAAGTACTTCCTGGAATCCATCTGCCCTTAGCTCAGGCATGCAGGCAGGAGGGTGTGCTTAGCTGAGAAAACCCCTCCTCCCCTCCTAAAGACTCCAAGATGTATGACATCCTATACCTAGGCCTGGAAACCAGGAAGTTACTAAAGAAATGTAAAATATTGTTTAAAACAAGTAAATATGATATACTTTCCTATTTATTTACTAATACTAGCAACATGAGGATTCAAAATAGACAGTTGATTGAAAGAGTGAAGTTCTACTTTAAGGGGGAGCAGTTGGGATGGGCTGAAAAAATGTGGTTCAAACACTTTTTTTTTTTTTTTTACTGCCCCACCAACGGCAAGTGTAAACCTAGCCTTACTTCTCTAATTTTCATTTTCTAGCTGCTCCTGTTGCATTCTCCATTATCTACTACAAATAAGAAATCCATTAGGGTGAACAAGACGGCATCACAATGGCACCAACAGGTATAAAGGTATTTTCGTGTTCGTGAATTTTCCAATGAGAGTAACTAATTATTAGGAGTGAATTGATTGCTGTTGAACATCTCATGACGTTGTAGGAAGGAGGGGATGTTGAACAGATCTAGATAACAGCAGTCAGGAGCAGTTCTAAGACTTCAGATAACAAGACAAATAGGTCCTTGTGTAATTCATCACTGGTCGGTGCTAGGACCTGGATACTGAATATGGAAGACAGCACTACACTGTGAATGCAAGCGCTAAACAATCCAAAGGATATACCATCTTTCTCAGAGCATCTATTCTTTTTTAATAAATGGAGATTACAAAGTTGCACTAGCTTGGTGTGCCTGTCTTGCTCCTTTGCCAGGTCATTCTCATCTTGTACCCATCCCAACCTCTGGCTGAGCATGTACAGTAAAAGTTGAAGTAGTACAGGGATGAGCTCATATCTCTGACTTTCTTTTTCTATCAGCATCAAATCATTAGTAATGCCTCATCTGAAATATGCAGTTCAATTTTTGGCACCAATTCACAAAAAGAACATTTGGGAACTGGCGAAAGGGCAGAGAAGGGCAACCAAACTGATAAGAGGCATGGAGGAGCTCAGCTATGAGGAAAGATTAGAGGAACTGAATTTATTCTCTCTTGAGAAGAGGAGATTAAGGGGAGATATGATCAACATGTATAAATACATCAGTGATTCATATAGTGAACTCGGTGTAGAGCTATTCACCCTGAGGTCATCACAGAGGACAAGGGGGCACTCTTTACATCTGGAGGAAAAGAAATTTAATCTCCAAATACGGAAAGGTTTCTTCACATTAAGAGCTGTGAAAATGTGGAATAGACTCCCTCAAGAGTTGGTTCTGGCCATCTCAGGTGATTGCTTTAACCTCCCTGGCGGTATGATTATTTCCGATTTTTGGTGCTGAAAGCGGTACCATTATTTTGCATGGAAATTTGGCATTTTATGTTGTAGGCCTGTAATTGTTAGGAATAACTCACTGAAATCTGTCCCGAACAAGAGTCTAGTAAACATCCCAGGTAGGATAAAACTTGAAACACGAAATCATAAATTATAATTTAATAAATAATCGTAAAAAAATAATAATATAGTAATAAATTTATTTCAATAATATAATCAAACCAAAAACACTGAAATTTGAAATATAGCGCCAAGTTCGCACATCACTGAGCAAAGTCGCAAAATCGTTTTCAGTGTCTGATGACGAATTTCCCCCACGAATCAATTCTGCAAGTGGTTCTGATTTACTATCGCTGATCTCTAGCTGTCTAAAACAGATTTTGACCTAAAGGGACGCTTTTTGGACGCCATGGACATTTCCATCAGTTTCCAGGCAATAAGAACAGTAAAAATGCAGGCAGGGCACAGGACAAAGCACTAGGGACAAAATGTATGTGAAATGGTTTGATGCAGTAATGTTTTACTATGTGATTTTAGTGATTTTAGTGAATGTCACTTTTTGTCATTTTCAAATTTACTGCCGTTCCGTCCCCCGTACGTCCCAACGCTTGCAGAGGATGGAACCCAGAAGACAGATGCCGGTATCCACCGGATTACATTGCCGGGGACACTGCAGGAGGGACATTGCGGGAGTGCAGGACAAGGTAAGTGATCGAGGGATCGCGGAGCAGCGCCACATGGTATTCCCGAGTGTAGCTCGGGTTACCGCTTGTGGTACTGAAACTTTACCCCGAGCTACACTTGGGAATACCGCCAGGGGAGATTTTCCTTCACTTCCTGTCCCATTGCCAAAACAGTAAGTAACAGTAAGTAAGAGCAAATCCTTCAAAAGTGAGAGAATCCTGGTTTCTCACCAGGATCCCTAGAACTAATGTCCCTATTGAACAATATCCCCTCTATTAGTGTTCTGATGTCAACCCAAATTTGGGATTTTTATTTTATTTTCAATTTCAATAATGACTGTAAACAGGATAAATGGAGAGGGTGAATTCCCCTAATAGGGGCACAGACAGCATTAAAAACTGATAGGTGTTCTACTCCCTCTCCGCTCTATCCAAAACTAAAAAGAAAAAAAAAAAAAAGGAAAAAGGTTTTGCCTTTAACCACTTCCAGACCGGACACTTTTACCCCCTTCCTGACCAGGGCAATTTTCAGCTTTCAGCGCTATCACACTTTGAATGACAATTGCGCGGTCATGCAACACTGTACCCAAATGAATTTTTTACCATTTTTTTGAGACAGATAAAGCTTTATTTTGGTGGTATTTATTTGCTGCTGGGATTTTTATTTTTTTTGCTATGTAAATGAAAAAGTCCAAAATTTTTTTAAAAAAGTGTTTTTTTTATAAAATTTTGCAAATAAATAATATTTCATCATAAATTTTTGCCAAAATGTATTCCGTTATCTTTTTAGTAAAAAAAAATCCAAATTAGTTTATAACCAAAAATTATAATTTTTAAATATTTTTTTTACATTTTTATTTTATTTTGTTATATTATTATTATTATTTTTTTTACACACTGTCACCCTAGCAGTACAGTGTCACCATGGTGACACTGTACTATTTGTGGGGGGTGATGAAGATTTTTTTTTTTTACACTGATTGCTTTTACACCCATATAGGATGTAAAAGCAATCATTTCTCTTTCTCTCTGTGTGCATTCTTGCACTCATTGAGAAGTACTGAGTGAGCTGTGATTGGTCACAGCTTGTCACATGGTACAAGGCTGTTGTGAATAGCCTTGTACCATGTGACCTCTGTGATCATTCACAGATTTCACACGTAGTAAGCAATGATGTCACAAGTGACATCTTGCTTACTACTTTGCATGTGATCACTGATTGGCCAATCAGTGATCACATGATCGGGACCTCGTACAGAGGTCCCGTCCGACGATCAGTGTTTCACTGTGTCCGGAGGACACAGCGGGCACCGGATCGCGGTGCTGCGCGCTCCGAGGGAGCGCGCACAAGCAGGGTGCGGGGAGGCCGTTTATGAACGGCCACCCGACCCTGCACTGCCACCGTCCGGCCGTTTATATGCAACGGCCGGTCGGGAAGTGGTTAATTAGACTTTAAGGAAATAGGAATACAGATAAGTGTTATAATTAATTGTTCATTTTAATTGTTAGGTCAAGTGATAGAACTAGAGGGGGGTATAGAGCGAAGTATGAGAGCTTGCTGTAAGATAACATTGTCTTGAGCGCCAAATGTAGGTTGTAAAGAATAGAAAAAATTACCTGATACTTTGGGGTATCAGAAAGCATGTAACTCACTCCTCTTTCTCCCACATGACAGCATTGGTGCTTTATGAATGGCGTTTCAGGCACCCAACATTTTCACATGGAAGTGTAGAGTCCATTTCTCTTTATTTCCATTGACCAAGCACCATGCTGAAAAGATTAAAAGGAAAGCAAGAATGTAAATGTTACAGGATTATCGGTGATCTGAGTGCGAAGTACTGTATAACAAAGATGCAGTCTGCAGTATCTGTATTTAACCACCTGCCCACCACCCTATGGTAGAAGTACTGCTACAGGGCGGCAGGGCTGAGCAAAATCACATGTATATATGTGATTTGCATTTCCAGGTAGGGAGCACGCGCCGCCATACCCACGTTGCCATTGACGGCTAGGGATGTCAATCACCGGATCCCATTATTGAAGTGGTTAAAGTGGACCTATGAGAATCACCCAAAGACTGGAATGCAAAGAGAGTATTTTTTTTTATATCTTTTCAAAGTTTTCTTTGTGCTTTTCTCCTTTAACCACTTCCAGACCGGACACTTTTACCCCCTTCCTGACCAGGCTAATTTTCAGCTTTCAGTGCTCTCACATTGTGAATGCCAGTTACTCAGGCATACGACACTGTATCCAAATGAAATTTTTATCATTTTTTTCACACAAATAGAGCTTTCATTTGGTGGTATTTAATCACCACTGGGGGTTTTATTTTTTTCTAGAAAAGTGGAAAAAGACTGAAAATTTTGAAAATAAACATGTTTTTCTTCGTTTTTGTTACTAGATTTTGCAAATAAATATACTTTCTTCATTAATTTAGGCCAAAATCCATTGTGCTACCTTTGTTTGGTAGAAATAACCCAAATCAGTTTGTATTATTTAGTCTGTATTAAAGTTATAGAGTCCACAGACCACGGTATATATATTTGATATATTTGAAAATTTATCAATCCTGATGTACTGACTACCTATATAGTTTCTCAGGGCCCTAAAATGCCAGGACAATACAAATACCCCCCAAATGACCCCTTTTTGGAAAGTAGACAGTCTGAGGTATTTAATGAAAGGCAAGGAGAGTTTTTTGAAGTTGTAATTTTTTGCACATTTTTTAAGGGGAAATGATGAAAGTAAAAATAATTTTAATTTTTTTTTCACAAAGTTGTCATTTTAACAAGTTTTTTCTCTCACACGGCATAGGCATACTTGCAGTTACACCCCAAAACACATTCTGCTACTCTTCCTGAGTATGGTGATACCAAATGTGTGAAACTTTTTCACAGCCTAGCCACATAGAAGGGCCCCACATCCAATAAGCACCCTTAGGCGTTCTAGGGGCAAAAATTACACATCTAATTTCTTGACTGTCTATCACAGTTTTGGAGGTCCTGGAGCACCAGGACAAAGGAATTACCCACAAAATGACCCCATTTTGGAAAGAAAACACCCCAAGGTATGTTTTTAAGAGTCATGTGGAGTCTTCTGAAGACTGAATTTTTTGCCAAACGTTTTTGGAAAATGTGAAAAGAAGATGAAAATGCATTTTTTTTCTATGCAAAGTTGCCAGTCTATGAGATATATCTATTACACAACATAGGCATACTTAAAATTACACCCCAAAACACATTCTATAACTCTTTCTGAATATGGTGAAACCAAATGTGTGAGACCTTTTCACAGTCTGGCCACATAGGGGGGCTCCACATCCAATAAGCACCTTTTGGAGTTCTAGGGGAATAAATGACACATCTAATTTCTTGACTACCTAATGCCATTTTGGTGGTCCTGGAGCATCAGGACAATGGAATTACCCACAAAATGACCCCATTTTGGAAAGCAAACACCCCAAGGTATATTTTAAGAGTCATGTGGAGTCTTCTGAAGACTGCATGTTTTGCCAAAAGTTTTTGGAAAATGTGAAAAGAAAATGAAAATGTTTTTTTTTTTTACGCAAAGTTGTCAATCTATGAGATATTTCTATTATACAACATAAGCATACTTAAAATTACACCCCAAAACACATTCTATAACTCTTCCTGAATATGGCGATACCAAATGTGTGATCAGAGATACCGTGAGCTGGCAGGCAATGTTTTGTGAGTGTGTGTGTAAACTGTGTGCAAAGACTAAAAAGTACTCACAGTTTGCTGTAATGGCTCTCAGGTGATCAGGACTGGTAAGGTGGTGATCAGGACCCGTGGGTTTGGCAGCGATCAGGATCCAATGATGTGGCGGCGATCAGAACCCGCTGGTATGGCGGGGATCAGGACCCACTAGTTTGGTGGTGATCAGGATCTGCTGGGGTGGTGATCAGGACCTGCTGGTATGGCTGTGATCAGGATCTGCTAGTGTGGCGGCGATCAGGACCCGCTGGTATAGCTGTGATTGGGACCTGCAGGTGTGGCGGTGATCAAGACTTGGTGGTATGATGATCAGGACCTGGTAGTGTGGAGGTGATCAAGACCTGCTGGTGTGGAGATCAGGGACACTGGGACGCTATGCAGTGATCAGGGACACAGCTGGGCCGCTGTGTGGCGATCAGGGACACTGACAATCGGGGACACTGACAATCAGGGACACTGACAATCAGGGACACTGACGATCGGGGACACTGACGATCGGGGACACTGACGATCGGGGACGCTTGTGATCAGGGACGCTTGTGATCAGGGACGCTTGTGATCAGAGACACTGACGATCAGGAACGCTTGTGATCAGGGACGCTTGTGATCAGGGACACTGACGATCAGGGACACTGGCGATCAGGGACACTGGCGATCAGGGACACTGGCGATCAGGGACACTGGCGATCAGAGACACTGGCGATCAGGGACACTGGCAATCAGGGACACTGGCGATCAGGGACACTGGCGATCAGGGACACTGGCGATCAGGGACACTTGTGATCAGGGACACGGGCGATCAGGGACACGGGCGATCAGGGACACGGGCGATCAGGGACACGGGCGATCAGAGACACTGGTGATCAGGGACACTGACGATCAGGGACACTGACGATCAGGGACACTTGTGGTCAGGGACAGTCAAGGACACTTGTGATCAGGGACAGACAATCAGGGACACTTGTGGTCAGGGACAGACAGTCAGGGACACTTGTGGTCAGGGACAGTCAGGGACACTTGTGATCAGGGACAGACAGTCAGGGACACGTGATCAGGGACACTGTGATCAGGGACAATTAGGGACACTTGCGATCAGGCTTGCTCTTGCTCAGGCTATCCGGCTCCTTCTCTCACAGACAGAACTCCGTGTGAGGAGAAGGAGCCGGAAGCCGCACCATGCGGCTTCTGTTTACATTTAGACTGTGTCCTTATTGGACACAGTTGGTCACATGGTACAGGACGATTTCATTGGTCCTGTACCATATTACCTGATCCCCAGTATCTGAGGGACCCGGCGATCTCTGGGCACGCGCGTGTGCGGTCAAGGGGGCGGAAGCCGCACCATGCGGCTTCTATTTACATTAAGACTGTGTCCTTATTGGACACAGTCGGTCACATGGTACAGGACGGTCCTGTACCACGTCAGGTGATCGCCGGTATCCGAGGGACACGGCGATCACTGGGCTCGCGGGTGCGCGCGCTCTAGGAGCCGCGCACGAGCCTCGGATGCGGGCGGCCATTTATAAACGGCCACCCGACCCTGCACTGCCACCGTCCGGCCGTTTATATACAACGGCCGGTCGGGAAGTGGTTAAATCATGGGTTGGGGTGCCCAGATAAGTGTACCTTGCATTTTCATGCCAGGTCCCCTCTAAAAGAATCTAATCATACTACTGGATCAGGTCAGTTGTACTCATGGATGACCACTTTAAGACACTTCAATATGAATATGTGAATTCTCTTTGAGGTCATTTTTTCGCTCTACAGTGTGATGACGGAAGATGGTGCCACTGAAAGTGAAAAGACAGAACAATTCCAATCTCATGCCACCATAGGTGACAACTCTATTTCCGCCATTAGACAGTCAAAATCTATGAGTAAAATGCAGTGAGATAGGACACAAACTGTTAAGAAATTAAGTCTTTAGTACTGAATGTTACATGAAATGCCACAGGTACAATCCCCTTCCAATTCATTCTGTCTTTTTCCTTTTCCTATTATTTGTTCAGACTTTGCTGCAAATTAGTGCTGGAGAGAATGCGTTAACCTTAGTGCAGAGGCTTCTAATGGGAGCCTGATGGCTTATTCTGAGGCACTGAGAATTGATTGCCTAGCACCGTGTTGGAGATCAAGAGACAAAAGAGATGTGCAGGGGCGAGAAAAGGTAATTAAATCATGACTGGAGGCATTGTGAGAGGCAGGGGTAGAAAGGCTGCCAGGACTAGTAGCTGCCACTCAAAATTCAGAAAGTGCAACATGAGATTCAAAGATCAGGCATAAAAGAAAAATGAAATACTAGAAGAGAACTCGGTGTCATGTTTAATATTTTGTTAATTCACACCAGTGTTTGGTTGATTTTTCGAAAATGTGGCCACAGTTGCTAAGTGGCTAGTTATCTATGTTCCAAGCTTATGACAGTGGTTTTTATAGCTCAGGGGTGTTCCTCCTAAGAAATAAGATCATCTAAGACAGCCTAATCATAGAGAAACCATAGATGTCTATGGCTAATTAAAACTTCCTACCTCCCATGAGCCCTCTAATATTTTTGATATTTAAAATATTTAGCACAAGAAGTGGTAGGACTGTGGTGCAAAGGAAAAACACAAGATAGAAACAAGACAAGAAATGGCAAATAGATAACAATTTAGGAAAATAGCACTTTACTTTAAAGAATATTATTTCAGTGACAATAGCCACACATATTGTGCAGTGGCTGGATCGAATCTAGGCACCTTGGTTAGGCCGAAATGTAAGCGGAAGCAACACCTTAGGTTTTATGCTTTATTAACAATTAGTGTGTATTATTTCAAGGACAATGGCCACAAATATTTTATAGTGGCTGGAATGTATTTAAGCAGCTTGTTTAGGCCACATTGAAAGAGGAATAGACAAAGTTTTTATCTTGAAATAAAAATTATTGTGCATTATTAGATAATTTTTGTGCATTATTAGATAAGTCAGCACTCATGATTTTGAATTTTGTGTGGGGAAAAGGGGAAGGGTAAGTATGTCATTGGGGTCATCTGGGGGAAAACCCTCCTTAATGTTTTTCTGAAACGCTCACAACCAAGTGTAATGTTCCTGGGTGAGGCTCATAGACAGGGGCGGACTGACAACTCATGGGGCCCCCAGGCAAAGGGGGGTTATTGGGGCCCCTGTGTCCTTGCCCAAACTCAAAAAAGCCTATGAAAAAGGTACCAGGGGCATCTCATGGGGCCCCCTACTGACCCCGGGCCCTCGGGCAGTGCCCGAGTTTCCAAATGGTCAGTCCGCCCCTGCTCACAGAGAATCCTGTTAGAAAGTGCCTTAGTGATTCAACTGCTTGGAGAAATTGCAGGAAGGATCTTCTCCCCACCAGTACTTCATGTTCTGGAGTGTGGGTAGTAGGTCATAGGTGGTTCTGAAGACAAAATTTAGCAGATGTCCCTCCATCTCCCAGATTTCAGATTAGCGGAGTTCCTCTTTTTCAGGCTTTCCTAGCTAGACTATTAATCCCGCTTGGCCATTGAGATGGCCTTGGAGTGTCACTTTGCCTCCTCTTCTCAGCTCCTGTAAAATGAGCTGCCTCCTTTTCACAATAGCCACAAATATTGTACAGTATCTGGAGTGCATGATGGTTGCTTGTTTAGACTGCAATGTAAGAGGGAGGTGAGGCGAGGTAAATAATGTGTATTATTAAAAAAAATCATGTGCAGTAGCTGGACAGTATGTAAGCAGATTGATTATGCCACAATATAAGTGTCAGGAAACTAGTTCAGCTAATGCTAATTCTTCTTCAGCCAATGATAATTCTAATTCAGCAACTGTGAATGACCCTGGCTCATCTTCACTACATCCCTGACCGTGGCAGTCACCTGCTATCAAGCTATCGGCACCCGTGCTTCTTTGTACCTCTGTCACCACATTCAGGGGTGCTCGGACCAGAGCCGCAAGGGAAGCCCTCTCATCAATTCAACTTTCAACCAAGGTATGTGACACAGGAACTTAATCTGCCAGTTCTTGAACTCAGGTGTCTCACAGACTAGAACATTATTTCTTTGTTTGCCACTGCAACCTTTGCTTTAACAAATTGTTATAGTTCTGCAGAACTGATTTGCACATGTCTCTGCAATTGGTCAGGTTGATTGCACATCTTTTAATGTCCATCCTGTTGTATGTTTCCTTGCCAGGTTATTGCACTCCACACAATAATACCACCTGTTGTGTTGTGTTACTTCTAATGCTACTTTGTAACTTACCTTGGCTTGGACCCCCACATTATGTACTGCCTGCACTGGCCCTGATTTTTTACCTTGACACTGATTATCTGCTGCTTGCACTGGCATAGGTTCCCCCATACTTACAGTAAGATCATTTTATTCTAGGAGATCCTAACGACTTTGCGGCAGCTATGGATTTGATATTTCATGATTCCAAGTACAACTGCTGAAGCTATTTTGTTGAACTTGCACCAAGGGAAACACTCCATAGATTAATGTGTTGCCTTTATTTGGTGACAGATACCTCTTGGAACAACAGTGCATAGGTTTTCACTTTTAAAAAGGGTTTACTGGGCAAATTAAAGATGAGCTAGGTTGAGTTAATACACAGAGGGATCCTAATGCATTTATCAAATTGAGCATTAGAACTAACAGATGACTAATTGAAAGACAATTAAAAAGACAATAGTTAGTGGAAACAAATTTATTTCCTAAGGCACAGCTGAACCATTTACCAGTTCTGAGCCATAACACGAACCAATGCAGATTATAGCCATTAAGGAATCTTTCAGTTTTGGCAAATAGAAACATAACGCTTAACCAAATCTTTGTTTATACTGTGGTCAGTCAGGGCTCTTTGTCTTGAGGTATCCAATTCCAAAAGAACAACTAAAGCTACCAGTCAGAGAGAACTGTCCACAACTAGTCAATGCAATCCTTGCTTTTCATAACCCAAAGGGAGAATAAGATGGTGACTCATCATCCATAATTCATTATACACATTATGCAGCAATTTCAGAGACTTGAAATATGCTGAAAATAATCTTGTCCGCCATATACTTTAGCAATCTTCAATACACAGAGACATTTGATGGATTACCATTCTCTTCTTGCTTAATAACTCATGAGACTCACGTTCCCCTGCATGTTTTTTTTTATTAAACCTAGACATCAAGAGGTATTACCTTTCAACCTGATCTCCTCTCATCAATTCCTTGTTATTTAAGGAATTCCATGGCCGTCAGTTCATAATTTCACTATCTATTGGCAGGCCAGGAATCTTAACTCTTCTTCTGAGCATTGCCAGCTACATTACCCATTACATTGGCCAGACCTCACCTGCTGTTATTGAAGTAAAATGTAAAAATCTTGTTCAGCACCCTCTAGTGTGCTACAAGTGTGGTGTATTGTAGGTAAATTGATTGTGTATAACTCATGGTAACTGTGTGAGTCTGTGATTAACATTGGGTTACTGCAGGTCAAGCTGGGTGGCTTATCAGGTTGGGACTTTAACACCTCCACCTGGTTCTGGAAGACCATGGGTACCTTCCAGAAGCCAGTAGGTAGAAGAGGTGGAGACCTAATCTGCATGTCTGTGGGAGTCTAACCAATCCCAGGTTTGGAGGCTCTGGTAGAGTGGTGGACAAGCCTATAAATGTGGGATAGTCAGGAAGGCTCGGGAGTCAGGTGGAAGATGGAGTGTTGAGGAGTCCCCTAGGTCTAGTGGGGGGTTGGCCTCCAGGATGGGCTTGGGCTGGCTCAGGAAGATCCATTCAGCAGTACTGCAGGAGCAGGATCAAGGCCTGGGAGCAGTGGGAGCAAAGAGGAACAAGTGAGTACATCAGCACATCCAAGGATTTACAAGGGGAAATATTGCTACATGTAGCAAGCTTTCAAAGGACAGCACTGTGCTTAATCCTTTATCCTAGTCCTGGGAGATGTTCAGAGCAGTCAGGAGGGCTGGTAGTGGCTGCAGGCTGGGAGCAGTTCTACAAGTGAGAGGAGACATCTCTGCATGTAGTTACAAGTCAAGTTGATTTTCAGAGGGGGGCTGCTAGTCCCTCGCCTGAAAGAGGCTGTTGCTACTGAGCCACAAAAACTGATGGCTTTCAAGGAAAAGAACAGTCCAGGATTTGTTTCTGTAAATAGGATGGAAGTTTTCCTTGTGCATTGATTTAGCCAAGTTGGGCATCACATAATCCCTATTACCCTATCCAAGTTATACTCCTCTAATAAAGTAACAAAAACAAACTCATGGACTGTTCACTGACTGTAGATGAAAATGTGG